CAGGAATTAGCAGAGCACTTCAGAGGCAGCATCCCTGACTACTAAGCTCAGCCTGTTAACACACAATGGGGTCCCAGTCACTAGTGCTGGTAGGAAGGATCTAGCGCCAGGTACAAGGGAGGGGTTGATTCCACGCTGCAATGCAGGCTGGGGACAGTGCCCACTAGTCACACCAGAAAGGGCTAGGACAAAGTCATCAGATTAAAGGACTACTGATAAGCAGGAAATGCACAACTGACCAGTAAATCCTCCAAGCCCTGGGTCTGGGGAGCAACAGTTCTGTCAGGTGCAGGACTCTAAACCCCAAGTGAGATATAGCAGACGCTTTAAATCAGGGGTAGGCAACCCCCAGCATGGGTGCCAGAGCACACGTGCCTCGGGGCGGATAGCAGGGAAGGGGTTGGGGCAGCGCTACCACAAGGATCAGGCCCCTTGTGGCTCCCCCAACATCTTACAAGTCGAGGTTGCAGGTGCTTTTGGCACTCTGCCCAAAAATATTGCCAATCCCTGCTTGAAACTTGTCTCCACAGCAGGAACTCCTGATGTCTTTCCACATTTGCCCAGGAGGGGGAGTGCAGGGCAAGCCTCCCTCTCTTACAAGCTGCCTCTGAACCCCAAGCAGAGACACAGGATGGACTGAACTGCCGGACCCCAAGGAAGGGCTCCATGCCCCCAGACTACATCCGTGCAAAGAGGGGACTCCATCATGCACAAGTTCATCCGGGATCCACAAGTCAGGAGAGCAGGCACACACGGTCCAAAGGAACTGGAGAGCAGTCAGAAGGGATTAGAGCAGCAGGCTGTAGGCAACAGCCTGGGTCACTGCCAACAGCTCCAGGGTCACACACTGAGGAGAAACACACAGGAGAGCCCGAGGGCCACCAGCCTGGCAGGAGGCAGGGATGGAGGAGAGGGGAGGCAGAGCATGGCAGCGCACCTGCCCAAGCTCTACCCCACTGTGGCCACCTGGGATCTCGGCTGTGCATTTCCACAAGGGCAAGTATCAGGGCTTCTCTTAAGAGTTCAATCTGGACATAACTTGCCCCAGTTCTCAGGGTTTCTTCCCTTTTCCCCTTGAAAACTACAAGAGTTCTCAGGTGGGGAACAACCTCTGCTCTCAGTCTTGACTCCAGTTCCAGTAGAGAAGAGCACAACAAGGGGAGACAGCAGCAAGACCAGAAGGAAATTGCTCGAGACAGGAATTCCAGCTGTTACCAGTTCACAGCTCCCCTGACTCTTGAGATCTCTGGGCACCGGAGGCGGGGGGGAGACACCCCCATCCCTGCCATCCATGGATGGAAAAGCCAAACGGGTCACAATCCTGTGGAATACTATGCCAAGAACAATCCAAATGGGCAGAGGATGAAGACCCTGAGACCCTGCAGGGAAGCAGGTTGCAAAGGCCCTAGGGAGAAGCCTAGGGAAGGAAGGACCCAGCACTATACAAAATGCATCCCTTTATTTCCCAGATACGAGCGATTAGTGCTGAAGGGAAGGGCCATGACCCGGGGAGCAGGTGAGATTGTTTCAGGACAGGAACCACACATGGCCACCGAAGGCCATTTGTTCAAATGAGAATCCCCTGGCTGATCTGTGTCCCCAGTGCAGGAAGCCCCCTCCCTGCCGTGAGCTCAACACCTGGACGGAAACCGTTGGGCAGCCTGCCACTGCACTGCCCGGCCAGGCCAAGGTGGAGGCGGCACTCCTAGGACAGGGTAGTGTGCCTGATGATGCGCTGCTTTTTGTCAATGGCAAAGTTGTAGTTTTGGGGGTCGTCCAGGCACTGCTCGATCCGCTCATCCAGGTTCTCGGGAGTGATGAAGGTTTGGGCTTCCTCCTGTGAGCAGAGGAGGAGAAGCAGCAGCTCTGAACATGGGGATATTTGTGCCACTCAAAGCAGAAGAGCTCCTGTTTGAGCAGGGCCTGCTTGCCATAGCATGCTCTGTTTGCCCTCACCCCACAGGGTTGTCATAATGGACACTAGCGTCATCCAGGGCTTCTCTCTTGGGCATTTCAGTGGCCAGGGGACTCCAGCCCACCCCAGTGCTGCCCACAGGACTGCTGCTTCCAGGGCGCTGGTGCAGGGAGCCGAGAGTGGCTACTCTATGGCTCTTCAGGAGGGCAGAGCCTGAGTGGCTGCAATGAAGATGCCATTTCACCACATGGGCAAAAGGCTGGGGGCACCTCAGAGACACAAAGCTTCCTTGGTTGCCACCTGCAGCTATTCCCCAGCCTGCCCCACACGGGACGGCCTACTGACGCTGGCAGTGTGGTGGCAGCTAGGAAGGCTGGAGGCACTCCTCAAAGCCATGCAGGCCCCTTCTCCAGAGAAGCCCGATAGTGGCCACGCTCTCAGCTCCACCTCAGGCCACTGGGGGATAATACACTATACCTTGAGGCCCCATAGTCCCCTCAGGCCTGTGCTCAGCCTCTAGCCCTCACCTGTAGCCGGAGGACCTCCTTCTCCTTCTGCTTCTTGAAGTCCTCCATCAGCTTGGCTTGGTTGATGGCCCCTTGCAACTTCCGCTTCTTCAGCTCTTCCTCTTCTCTCCTGAGTCGCTCCTCCCTGGCGCACACATGGGAAAGGGGGTGTTAAGAACCCTTCATGAGACAGTTGGAGTCACAGCAGAGCTGCCTCCTCGGGAAACACTTAAAGCTCAAGAAAAGCCTGCGGCTGTCGTGGGACCATGAGAAAGACAAAGGGTGAGCTGGGCTGACTTTACCAGCAGGCCAGCCATGGAGCCTGGAGTCCTACCAGGTCCCAAAGCAGGGGCAGAATGTTCCTTGCATTGGTCACACTGGTCCCTGTACAACACCTTAGCACAGGCTCTGGATAACAGGCTTCTGGCTGGGCTGGTTGGTGCCATGACTGTCATGTGCTCCCTACGCTGGAGCTGTGAACCCAGCTGAGTGCTCGGAGGCTGCGGGACCTGCTGGAGCAGGACTTGGAGCCCTCCCAGGACACTGGCACCTTGCTCACTGCCTGTGGGGACCACAGTGGATGGGGGTGGCCAGGTCTTTGCCCTTGGCTTCTCTTGTTGTATGGGTGGTTTGGGGGACATGTGGCTTCTCTGCTCAGTTCCTAGCGTGTTTGATTTTGTACAGTGCTGGGAGACGGCCTGGGAACCACGCCACTGCTGCTGGTCTGATTCAGGAGTGCTGTGAGGAGAGCAGGCAGCTGTAACAGGACTCCAGTGTTTCAACTGTGTCAAACAGGTGCTACTAGGACCCCCCCTCATGCTCTGACAGGGTCCTCAAAGCTCCACACAGGACTTAGGATCCCTAACCCATGGACCAGGTGGAAAAGTGGCAACTGCAGCAGTTGTGACGCTCTGCTCAGCAGTGACATCATGTCGCACAACTCACTCAGCTCCCTTCCTCCGTGCCCTGCACTCACAGGCCAAGGTAGGATGGGTAAGAGTGAGAGCCATCCCCTTGGCTTAGGAGACAGCTGGCAAGCATCAGAAAGGTGAAACACGGGCATCACCTGGGGTTTTATTTTTGCCCCGGGAAAGAGGAACCTCATGCCAGAGAGGAGCTGTCAGCAAACTGACATGCAACCACGTCTATGGTGTGTGTTCTCTTGAGGACAGAAAGGTGTAATGTGCTCAGATGGCAGCAACTCCCATTCACTGTCCAACAGATGTTGGAGGAACCAGCAGCTGTGTGGACAATGGGCGACAAATGGGAGCATTACAGCATTAGAGGTGTCTTACAAAGGGATGCAGGGGGCAAGACATTGCTGAATGGGTGGGGGTGGAACCCTTGTTCCCTTGGGTCAGCTCATGATTCACAGCTTCATTCCAGGTTTGGATTTTGTCATGAACAGCAGCCAGTAAACATCAGCAGTGCCCACTGGAACTGCGCCCAATGACAGCCACAGCTACGGCCACACCACATTAGGGATAAGAGGCTGCAGCTCAGCACACCGGCCCAGACAGTTGAGAGTAGCCATGTTAAGTGCCAGCCATACTGGCTCTCTGGGCGGGAACCCGCAACCAGGGCCAAATCAGCCAAGCTCCGTGACCAGGGTTGCCCTGAGCTGGCCGTGAATCAGCTTGGGCAGATATAAGATTTGGAGTGGGGGCAGGGCAGCCAGAGCAGCACATCACATGGAACTCAGCACTCCTTTTATTCCTGTTCAGGAGAAACTAGAAGCTTTACTAGTAGGCTAGGGGGCCAGCACATTATTCAGTTTAAGATCAAAGCAAAAAACAAATACAGCCATTGGAATGTGACTAATTTGCTAGACTATATACAAGTTTAAAAAACCCACAACAGGCTAGGAAAAAATAGTCAAAGTTATTGCATCTTTAGGCCTGCAGTCATTACAGTTAAATGTACGTCTCCTTCAGATTTGGAAAACAAAATCTAGCCTTGTTGAGCATGTTGACCGTGCCTCCAATACTGCACTGTCCGTCACATCCACACCTGAGTTATTACTAGACCCGAGTTAAGGATTTTAAGACAGAACTAGAAAGTCTGCAGGGCTGTGAAATGGAAGAGACATTATCACAGATAGCTAATAGAGAGCAACACTGCAAAAGAAAGGAGAGTTTAACTAGTGAAACATCAAGGTTATTAAAAAAAAAGAGAGAGTGTTGTTAACACCTCTGCAGTGGAGAGGGATCAGCCGG